CCAAAATCACAGAGGAACTGCATGACCGCGCTGTGAGCTGCAGACAGTGTAGAACTCACACAGTGTGTCTTCACCTGTGGAGCTGCTTCTCTAAAACCTTTTTAAAACTAAAACATAACTTAAAATGAACGAGCATCTGAGCTGCGGCAGCAACACACCTGAAGTTTAATCTCTGAAACTGCTTTTCCTAAAAGTAGCACACAGCGTTTACTCGCGCGAAGTCCCGTCTCAAAGCACACTTTCTTCCCTATGTAGTGCACTTCGTGGATCATGAAATAGCAAATATTTCACCCAAAGAGTGCAGGAAACGTTCACAATAACAATATATTAACAATATAAACACTGCAAGCGAGGCGAGAAAGCGAAGCTGTGCAGATTGAACTTTTGCAGCGTCTCGTTCCAGAGCTTGTGTGACTCAGAGCTCATTTTGGAGACTCTGCTCCACAGAAATACGTGTTAAAAGCTTTAGTTTCGATTCACAGCTGATTCACTGATTTGACGCTAAAAGCTTAATTTTATATTATCAACGAACCATAAGCATAAGTTAAACCACACAAACCATGACATTTCTTCTATTTTGAAGTCCCCACAGACTTGTCCGTTAAAGTTAACCTTGCATTCTCTAAAAAGTAGCAGGTGGTGGTCGCGAAGATGACTCGTAAGGTTTGATGTGTTGCCCCCTTTCGCCGCTATTTTCTTTCGGCCTGTTCTGCAGACAGGGTGGTCATCTGCAGACAGGGTGGTCATCTTCAATTAACTTTTCTGCTGCATTCTTATAAAACCCAAAACATGACCAAACGTCAGAATTGGTCTTCTTAGAAGGCTGAAATATCTCCGAATCTCTGTCACTACATTCCGCCCTTCTCTCCCTCTCCCCCTCTCCCTCAGAAGCATTTTCTCTGTATGTATTATATATGTCTTATCTCTTCAGACAGAGCGGACATACTTCCAGGTGTTTCTGCCAAAAGAGGCTGCTGCTTCCAGTCAGCCCATGTTCTTCAGTTCCAAATGGAGTGTGGGTAAAGTGGTGGATTTCGCTGCGTCTCAGGCCAGCCTGAAGAACAACAACAATGTTCTGACAGCCATGGTAAGCCAACACTGCTTAATAAGGGCTGATGTTTTCCGTGCCTGTGTTCTGAAGTGGTTTCATAGGGATGAATTAAATTCTCTCCAATGGTTTATTTTCAGTAATTTGTGGTTTATATGGTGTTTATATAGAAGTGGTTGTAACTGTTTGAGTGCTTTGACTGTATCCTTTACCTAGATGTGTATGATTATCAGTTTTTTATGTTGTTTGTCTCTCACTGGTATACTTTTAGCTTTTTAAGGGTGGGCAAAATAGGCTGATATTACACTTTCAGAAATAAAGGTACTAGACAGTCACTGGGGCAGTTCCCCTCTTGTCACTGGGGTGGAACCCTCAAGGGTCCATCTCAGTACCTTTAGTCAGGGAACATAACTGAATCATAATCCACTGAAATGATATGTTCTGAGCTGTACTGACTCCACACACCCCGTCTCGTCTCCAGGCTTTTATTTTACTGTTCTGTTTAAAACATTCGGTTATGAAAAGGTACAAATACGAACTTTTCACCTGGAAAAACTTATTTAAGGTTCACCATCAGACCTTAAAACCACTGTTGTACCTTTGAGGGAACATTTACACTGTTTGTACCTTAATGAACAAAAAATGTACCTGAACAGAACCTTTATTTCTAACAGTGTATACGTTATTATATCAGTCACATCAGTTACATAATAATTTGCTTTTCTGGGTATATCATGCCTATATATAGCCTGTAAACAATAAAAACAGTGTTTAGTAACTTCAGTAGCTGCATAGTATTCAATTCAGCCTTTTTTAAATATAGTACCATTGTGTCGTTGGTGTATTTCCTCTGGTCACAAATCAGAATAATCGAATCTATAATCGTACATACAAACTTGTGACCTTTCAGTGTAATTCACCATTTTAAAGTATGAATATGCCAGTCATGTGAATTATGTAAATTTGACGAGTTTTAGTTTTAGGAAGGGGGCGTGGTCTGCTGCCAACAGAGAATTCTGAGAATCGCTCTTCACAGCACAGCAGCAGTTCACGGTCATTATCAGCCAACCAACAGATATAGCATTTCATTTTCATGGGCCAATCAGAGCTAAGATAACATTAACATGAGAGCTTAGCGACATCTACACATTACCTCAGGAGTGGCAATCATTGGGCTTTGGGGTCCAAGTACTGCGGAGTCAGGAGGACACAAATGGGCAGTGTTTTTTGATGACCAGATGTGGGGTTCCACACACTGACCTTTTGACGTTGTTGTGGTAAGCAACAATTTTTAACGAAATGAAACCAAAAAACGTAGAAACCTTATAATGTTTGGATGTTACTTGTATTTGCATAATTGTTGTACGCACTCAAGAATCACTTCATGTGTGCTCTGTGTGCAGAAACTGTGCCTGTGTCATCCTGAAACTGGTGAGGCCCTGAAAATGGATGCCAGTCTTCAGTCGCTGCTCACCCTCCCGAACTCTCCTCTCTACAACGGGGGCAATGTCATCTTAGAGTATCTGGATAACGAAAGCCTTGGAGTTGAAGACGTAACTGCGTACATCCCGTCCTCTTGATCCAAAGAGATCAGCCTAATTCTTTGCCTATAAGGATTAGGATCTGGATCAGACCTGGACTGCCTGAGTCAGAATGTCACACTTCAGACGTCGATGGCCAGATTTGCCCAGCTGAGTTGAGAACGTGCTGGTAGTTCTTCAGAGGTTGTAGCTGAGAACTCCTCTGACCGAGCGTCCTCTTATTTTTGACTTGACCGCCATACTGAAATGAGTTTTCTCTATTTAAAAAAAAATAAAATGTAACATTTAATTTATATCATTGACTTCCTCCAAGTGTGTCTGTTTATCGAAGAGAGAGATCTGAGGACATAGAATGGATTGTACCTATATTTGTATTGATTTGTTATAGATTATGGGAATATACCAAAAAAAACAGTATTCAAACAAATTGCTTTTTTAAACTATAAACCAGTAATTCATTATCAGATGCTTGTAATTTTTGTGAAATGCAATTTATTACTGAGATTCAGCTGTAACTAATACTGTTAATCTATAATGTCCTTATTCTGGATAAACCTCTTATATGCAAGTAATGGGTTTTGACTTTTACATATTCATTTACGTTTCCGCACTGCTGCATACTAATGAGGATGTGACTGCTACTACACTTCTCATAAACCTTTTTGGTATATTTACTCATAAAAATACTCTAAATTACTCATAAAATTACTCTACCATAAAACCATGTTAATTTACAGTTGTACACAAAAACTGGTCAAATAACATGTTTTGTTGATTTAAAAAAAAAAAATAAATAAAATAAAATAATAATAATAATAAACATAACAATAATAACACCACCTCTGCAAATTGTAGTCTGCAATTTTAAGTTTAATATATTGGGGGAAAAAAACACTAAAATATAAAAGGTGCCATGTTTGCATTTTTTCACAAATGTATCAAATTAATCAGAGGAGTGAAAGGAGGAAAAAAGTGGTTGAGTGGTTTGTCTGAACTATGTACAATCCTTTAGGCTGAAAATATTAAATATGATACTTAGTTACCAAAGAGTCTAATAAAATTTAAATAAACAAAAACAAAAACAATATATATATACACACACACACACCTAGTTGGATTTGTAAAGTTAAAGCTTAGTGACACCTTTAAGTTAAGTTACCCTTTATTAGTCCCACAATGGGGAAATTCACCTCTGCGTTCTAACCCGTCCGTGCAGTGAAACACCACATACACACTAGTGAACACACATTTACATTTATGGCATTTGCTCTTATCCAGAGCGACTTACAATTTGATAATTTTACACATATAGGCAAAGGTAGTGTTAGGAGTCTTGCCCAAGCACTCTTATTGGTATAGTGTAGGGTGCTTACCCACGCAGAGATTGAACCCCAGTCTACAGCATAGAAGGCAGAGGTGTTACCCACTACACTATACCAACCACACACACTAGGGGGCTGTGGGCACACTTGCCTGGAGCGGTGGGCAGCCCTATACATTGTGCCTGGGAGAAGTTGGGGGCTCAAGGGCACCTCAGTCATGTTCTGTCACCTCAGGGGATTGAACCAGCGACCTTCCAGTCACAAAGCTGGTTCCCTAACCTCCAGCCCACGACTGCCCCCGTGAATTGACATTCTAATAGTAATTTTTGAATGTATGATGTGGTGCCTGTATTCCCCAAATATAAGTATTTTGTAATATCTATAAAATATTAATTAAAAAAAAGCTTTAATTGGCCTGTGCAGAAACTACAAATGTAAGAAAAGGGTTCCACATGATTGAAGACTGTCATGTTAGTTTTGTTGACATATTAATGGATGTGGCTGCACTGCGCTCTAGTTTAGTTCACAATGGAAAATGTTGGATTTATTTAAATATGTTAAATAGTCCCACACTACTGCGTTAAATAGCTTTCAAGGTGTTCAGTTGAGTAACTCAAGTAAATCACAGGAGGAAAAGAACCAAGTTAACAGATTTAAGTTGAATATACATAATTTCAGAGTCCCTACTGTACCTTTGAGCTGTTGTAGAATTGCGCTCAGTAGTAAGTTATACAGTAATTTGCACTGAGAGCCAACAGTGTAGGCTTGGCCATTAACCATGGAGTATAAGACACATGCACACCAAAGGAATATGCCGATACACGATGCCAGGAACCAATGGAAAAGATGTGGAGTTACACTTAACCAGATTACACTGAGCAAACAAACACTTACACAGTAAATATGTACCGTAGATGATGAAAAGCAAAAGTTCTTTGCTATTTTACGTTGAGAAACGTTATTCTTGAATTGTTGCGCTATTTGATCGTGCAGTCTTTCACAGAGTGGTGAACCCCTCCTCATCTTCACTTCTGAAAGACTCAGCCTCTCTGAGATGCTCTTTATACCCAATCGTTATTGACCTGTTGCCAATTAACCACCAGGTGTTCTGGTGGTTAGCATTACACAACTTTACCAGCCTTTTGTTGCCCCCATCCCAACTTTTTTTGGAACATGTTATTGGCATCAAATGCCTTTGTGGTGTAATTAAATGTTCTTCTGTTTAAATTTTGTTTTTAAGTAAAGTAAATACTCAAATTACTCAAAACTCAATAATGTGTATAAGTAGGTTATAAGAGCTTGTTAATATTCACAATGGTTACACAAGTAAATTCATTTTTAAGTAGAATTTCTTTTTTTTCCTTTCGTTATGCTACAAACAACACAGGATTACAGTGGATTACTAATACAAAATTAGCTGCCATTTAGAAAAAAAATGAGAAATAAAGAAGACAAGCAGGAAAATACATAATAATGAATACGTGCTGGGTCATTTTGCTTTCTGGAGTTTCTTTCCATTGTCCATTCAATGATTAACTGCTCAAAAGGAGAACAGCATTTGACCACTAAAGGTGCTATGATGAAACCAGTCATCATATACCCATGCGTTAGCGCTGACCTTCAGACAGACGACGTCTCCAACTTCCAGTAACAGTGAGACTCCATTAGAGGAACTCACGTTGCCCTGGGGTTGATAAGCATGTGTTCCAGCTATGTGTTGTCCATTCTTATGTAATTCCACTGTTGCAGATCTTCCAGCGCCTCCATGGAGGGAGAATCTGAAGTGATAGACTCCTCTCACAGGTGCAGTGAAAAACCCTGCATAGACGTAGACATAGTATAATATACATACATCATAGTATAATGTATGTTTTTTTTTATTAAATGTAAAAAAAAACCATTTCAGTATCTATAATGTGTATGAACAGTCTACCTGTAACTGGGTTGTAAGCGTTGCCGATGTTGGTGAAGACGTGTTTGTAGACCAGAGTAATGCCAGTGCTGTATGGTCCAGTATGACCAGCTTCACCTCCTGAGAGAGATGCTGAAAACGCCACTTTTCTCTCTTCAGTAAACAAAAGATTTTACATGTTTGGTTAAATCAAGTAAGAACCGTTGAATGTTGTCATTTTCAGTAAAACATTCATTTCCACAGACCTCCCAAATTCTCCTTCTCACCTCTATAAACAAACGAGTCTAACATTAATAAATGAGGGATAAACAAGTTTATATAGTTAAAAATGTGGTTTATGTAGTTATTTTCCCCCAATATGTTAAATTAAGCAGTTATTGTGCATTAAAATACACAGACGTGTTCTCTGTAGAGGATGTGACCGGTATGAAAAGTGCTCTATAGATAAAGATATTATTAAAGATTAATTATTATTATTTCACTTAGAGATTCAACAAAACCAGGGGTGCCCAAACTTTTTACCAGGGCTGCCCAAACGTTTGCGTATGACCATATAAGTCACAGTTAAGCACTATAATTGCACCACTTTGAAGCACATAATTCATTCAGTATTCACACAGTTTAAATTCCCTGTTTGAAAATGTGCAGAAAATGATACACTGAATGAAATTCACATGACGGGATGGAGACCCGAAAACTTTTAGAAGTTAGGAGGGCAGCCAAAAATGTAATCCTGCTTAGGTGCTCCAGAAAAGGAAAGTTAATTTAATATCTCTGTTACGGGGTTAACATAGTTTTTAAAGCCCAATATTTCTCTCACCTCCCAACTTCCAAATCACGTTTGAGTGTTGATCATTTCAAAGCTTTTCAATGGTGTCTGATAGAAGATGCCAGACAGGTTAGTTTGAGTGAGTTGAATTCAATGCTGAATATTTCCAGTTTAATAGTGTTCTGTGGGTCTCTGAAATGGCTCACCACCAAAAACACATCCGGCCAACAGGAGATCTATGGTTTAAAATGGCTCATTGATAAAAACAGCTGAAAGGAGACATGAATTGTTTAATGGTTCAACCAACAGATGACTGGTCAACCAATAGTTCGGTACCACATCAGTCCTGAAAGACCTTACAGACTGTAATTTTTCGTTAGCTACTAGCTAGGCGAGATTGTGGTCTGTGTTGCTATGGTGACCAGCAGTCTGCACTGATCTTCAGGGTTAAAGGGTGAATTAGCAGTTCTACTGTGAGCCCCCAGTGGGCCATGGTGGTACTGCTAGTAGGCCTTGGCTGTCTGTTTTTAAACTGCAATTGTTACGATATAGCAGACTGTGGTTGGAACAACACTCTGTAGGGTTGTAGGACCAAATTTAGTAAATGGTTTGGGATTCAACTGATAATAACTTGCCTCAGACAAGAAGCTGTGGTGAAGTACCAATTGGCTGGCAGGGCTACCAGTAGCTATCACAAATTTAAATTAATTATAAATAGGGTAGATCCTAAATCGAATTAACTGAAGCTCAAGCATGGAGTCTAACACAGGCACATTGACACACACTTTCTAAACGTTAAAGCTAATCAGGCGCATCTGAACAGTGTAATGCTCTGTAGTGCAGTGATTCCAGGAATACATGATAATAATTCAGCAGCCTGTCAGGATCTCAGTCCGACAGATCATCTGTGAAACTATTTGGAATAAAGATCCACAACTAGCCAACTTAACACAAAATACTGGAGTCAGCATGAGCCAGAATAACTGTGGAATAATTTTGCTGTTGAGGACACAGTGCAGAATCAGAAAGACATCCCTTATGTTTTGCAGTATCTGTATGCACAAACAATACCTTTTCTCTTTATAATTTGTTCAAATATTATGTTAAAAAATGGTATTTATTACCTTGATTCTCCTTTTTCAGCTTCTCCACTTGGTTGTCAAAGTCTTTCAGTAACAAAAGTACACAGTACATCAGTTAGTCATTCATGTCACAGTGAAAGCACATTCATTTCCATAAAAAATTCATCCAAAATCAACACTTTAAATGAACAAAACACATGAATGCAGATCGCTGGTCAATACTGAAACTTTCTGAGAATCATCAGGCAGTTCTTTGTGTGCAAAGCCTAATGACTGTGTCCACTTAAATACATATCTCAATTGGAAATTCATAAGAACTGAAACATAGGAGAATATTCCCTGTTGTCTGTGGTTCAATAGTTCGAGTCTGTGCTGCAGCACCATCATCAGAAGGGTCGGTGGTTTGCAGGTGAGGTTTGCACAGCATTAACCCTTTAAAATCCCAGGCTTATTGCATACTAAAGCTTATAAATCAATAACTATAGGGACTTACTGGCTGAGCTATTCTTAGACTTCCTAAACTTTGGGCTCACCTATGGGCCCTGGCCATTCAAGGGGTTAAACATTGTTACTGACTAAATCAATTATAGACGTTTACCGTTATTTTTTGTTTTCAGTTCCTCCAGTTCAGTCCCAAATCTGGCCTCCATGGCACTCTGATTCACTGCTTGAGCTAAAGATGAACACAGAGGATTAAAGTGTGAACACATCATGAACAAAATAATCATCAGCTCAAGTAAACATTATAGTTTGGGTCCCACGTCTTAGACCAGTGGTGGGGAACCGAGGGCCAGAGTCCAGCACAGTTTACTGATTTTTCTGCTGTGACTCAACAACTAAACCTCCTGATAAACTGCTGAGTCCAATCAGGTGTGTTTAAGCAATAAAATCACCAAACTGTGCTGGAATCGGCCCTTTAAGACCAGAGCTCTCCACCCATGTCTTAGACTAAGAATGCGGCCAGGCTGTCTACATGTCAGCCCAGTAACTACTGTTTCAACTAATCTTGCATAACATTGACTTTATCAGTGATTGGATTATAATTTAACTCACCTTCCGTCTTCTTCCTCAGTTCCTCCACTTGACTTTCACTGGCTCTCAGTCTGCTCTCTATGTTGTTCACTGCGGTCGTCGTGTGTCCCTGCTCAAATTGTACAGATAGAACAAAGATGGAGTGACTGAAAAACAAAACTGTCTGGGAAACTTGTGTGTGTTCATTATATGATCATATTTGACTGTGTGCAGCTTGAGAGACGGTGAAGTTACAATTTGGTTCACACTCATATTAATGCTGGTTAAAGGTTGCGTCTCATGTTTTAACTCTGTGGTTTTCAGTCCTGGTCCTGCAGTAACACTGCCCTACATGTAATGCTCTCTCTGCTCTAACACACCCAGCTCACTTCAGGAGGAGCTTCTTAATTGGGTACTTAGTTTTTAAGTAGTTCAGGTGTCTTGGAAGCAGGAAATACTCTAAAAGTGCAGGACAGTGTGACTCTAGCACCAGGACTGAGACTCAGAAATGACAGATATGGTATCTTTTATCAGAGATTGAAAGATATAGAGCAAATGAGCAGTCATAGAGGCTGAGATAAAAAGTGTTACCACTCGTCCACGTCTCCTCTACGTATTGTTTTTTACTTCTCTTTGATTAACATTAAGACAGAAACCTGTTCAGTGACTCACCTTGGTTTATCTGACTCTCCTCCTCCACCTTCCTCTTGAGTTCCTCCACTTGACTCTCACTGGCTCTCAGTCTGCTCTCCATGTGTTCACTGCAGTCGTCGTGTGTCTCTGCTCAACTTTCAGCTCTGCCAGCATAGCGCTCATCTCTCTCAGTACAGAGTGAAGGTCCGGCTGGCAGCTTTGTTGGGTGGAGGTTGTGGCTGGAGGTTCAGTTCTGGGATCCTCAGCCTGAATCTGGTTCCCTCTGCCTTCATAATGACTCAGAATGATGTCATTCACACTGACCGACTGTACCTCCAACAAACTGCAGCACAGCAGCACCAGCAGAGAAACAGCTCTCATCCTTAACAGGCTTCCTTTGTCTTCTTGGGATTAAGTGGTGGACTCATATAAATATATACAGTGCGGTTAGTCATTAACTGCATTATGTTAATGTTATATGTTCTGTAATTTGCTCTCTAACATGAATCTTTAATAGCTGATATGTTTTATCTCATCTCGTCCTTGAAAACACTATAAAACAAAGTAAACATGATGTTGTTACACTGGCCGCACGTGTTCTGACAGAGATGCAGTAAAAACGTGAAGGCTGATTACTGGCACTAGATAATTTATATTGAAGGAACATATTTTCACATGTTTAGAAGTGCTGCATCAATATGAGCCAACTTTAGTCACGTGACAATCCGAAAGTGATGCAATAACTTCTACCAGCTACTTTTTAACTCGTGTCTTTGGTTAAAATAATCCACCATAAATTCAGTTTTTTTCATATTTTTATGAAATTAGGTCACTTTTTAAAGTAACGACCTTCGTTGATAACTCCTAATTAAAGTTGAAAGATTATGTAGTTCGTTCAGAGTGAAAATGGTTACATAAGCAAGTTTACATTTTATTAATTCCTTATTTCTTTCAGTCATAACAAGAAGAAGACCATAGACCGACATACAATAGTACATATTCCGTAGAATACACCATTTACAATAGTTCCGGTGATGAAAAGTGTTAAGCTAAAAGAGTTTAAAAATTAGGATTCTGTTGTCAGCTGCTGAAATAGAACAGTGGGAAGCAGATGACAAACAAAGAAAAGTAGAAAAGTATGTAACAACAAATAATATGTTTCTACAGTTGCATTCCATCAGTCATTTAATGATGAACTGCTCAAGTAGAGACAGAGAAGCTGACCGCTAAAGGTGTGATGGTGACGTGATATTTATCTATGAATTGACTCTGAGCTTAAAACAGATGACATCTCCAACTTCCAGACAGTAAGTCTGCATGTTCCAAATGTATTTATGATATTTATGATGAAGTATATTTTTGCAATGTGTATATATATATATATATATATATATATATATATACACATTTTCTAAGCTGCTTATCCTTCTAGTTCGAAGGGAGGAGCTGGAGCCAATCTCAGCGGTCATTGGGCGAAAGGCAGGAAACACCCTGGACAGGCCGCCGGTCCATATATATATATAAAAATATATATAAAATGTATTTAAAAAAGGGAGGAGGTCTCTTGTAGAGCTCAGATATTTCATAACACCACTTCTGTTTCAGCATTAGATTTTAACCGTACAGAGGCCACAGGCACATCACATCACATGCATTAATGTGCCAATCATTAAAGCAGTGGAGGGAAACAGTCTTGCAGAGTTCATTGTTTGGTTTTTAGACAGCTGATTCAACTCAGCAGCTAAGACCTGATTCTGCATTACTGATTAACTGATACTTTAAGCTTCAACTTCCTAAGAACTAAAAAAGTCTAAAAAGTAAAGAGGCAGCTGGAAATTAAAAACAAAGCCTGTTCTATATGAAAATATGTTTTCTATAGTATCATTCGTTTGACAGTTTAATGACCAGTTGCTCAAAGACAGAATTATTTTGAAATAGAAGCATCTAGGAGCGACAACAACTCAGCCACAAAGCGACCACACAAACTTACAGAGCAGGGCTGCCGAGTGCTGAAGTGCATAGCACATAGAAATTACCTCTGCATCACAGCAGAGCTCTAAACTGTCTCTGGAAGCAACATCAGCACAAGAGCTGTGTGTCAGGAGCTTCACGAAATGGGTTTCCATGGCTGAGCAGCTGCACACAAGCCCAAGATCACTATGTGCAATGCCAAGTGTCGGCTGGAGTGGGTGTAAAGCGCCGCCACTGGACTCTGGAGTAGTGCAAATGTGTTCTCTGGAGTGATGAATCAGCTTCTCTATCTGTCAGTCTGATGATGAATCTCGGTTTGGTGGATGCCAGGAGAACGTTAACCTACCGGAATGCAGAGTGCCAACAGTAAAGTTTGGTGGAGGAGGGATGATGGGCTGGGCTGTTTTTCAGGGTTTGGGCCCCTCAGTTCCAGTGAAGGGAGACCTTTATGACAATTGTATGCTTCCAGTTTTGTGTCAGCAGTCTGGGCCTTTCCTGTTCCACCATGACTGCTCCACGAAGACGTGGTTTGACGAGTTTGGTGTATAAAGACGTGTAAAAAGTCGCCCATTTTGCTCTCCAGCAGCTTGTTTCCATCAGACTTACTGTAATGACACTGTAAGAAACGGAATAAAACTTTTCTCTTGCTACAAATTTCCCTTACTAATTTATTTATTTATTTATTTATTTGCCTGCCACCACCCCACCTCATCGGAGGACTATTAAAACTTGATTTTATTTGTAAAGTATTCATGAGGGAGTACATGTAAGCATAAAGCATAAACAAACAGACGGACAAACAACGGAAAGAGAAGGAAAAAAGATAATAACAATGAGAAAATAAGCAAAAGAACTTAATGAGAAGCGAACGTTAACAACACTAACAGTGTCTGTGATATGATACTTCTTGTCGTACAGAGATAGAATTGTGTATGTGTGTTTGAGTTTACAACTTCCCTTATTACAACAAGAAAGAATGCTGTAGATTGAAAATGGTCACATTAGCAAGTTTACATTATCTGTGATTTCCTTTTTTTCCTTTAACAATGACAAGAACAGCATGTTACACTGGCTTAATTCCAAAAATACAATCAAAAAGAACATCCTAAGATTAAAAAGTCATAAAATGGAAATGTTATGACTCTGTATGACAGGGTTGTTTGTTTGTGGAACTGAAGTGCTGCATCAACACGAGCCAACTTTGATCATATGATAATCTGAAAGTAGAAGTCTGAGAGTGTTATCTCTCTGATAACAGTAGTGAAGCAACTTCTATCAGTTACTTTTTAACTTTCACATCCTTTGTTACGATAATCCACAACATCATGTTTTACAGCTCACAAACTGAGTCATTTTTTGCCAGATCAGTATTAATGTTGTTTTGTTCCAGCCAGTCTGTAAAGCATCTTACAGCCCATTTAGTTTGGCGAATGGTGTTGGGTTCATTTCTGGCTGATTCCAGGTTGTTTAGCTGTTCTTCTGTCACAGCTGCCGACTGAAAAGCTGCTCAGTGGTGATGACAGTTTGGGAATTTAGTGTCGTCTCATCTTCAGAGTCTGACCAAATCGGCTGTCGGTCAAACGTGATCTTAAAAGTGTCCATTTTCTGTTTGTGGCAAAGTAAGAAGTAAAACGTTCAGATGTCTTGAGCGTCTCCTACAGCTGTCAAAGTCGTTGCTTAGCAACGGCGTCTCAGCGGAGTGATACAGTGTTTGTGAAAAACCTGTGATGTTATGGTGAAATAACAGCACGGTTAGAACACTTCTCAACCAATCAGCTTGCGTGGCCGGAACTGACTGTTGTATAATTTATAACAATATATATCAACGTGTATCTCCATTTTTGGTCATTTTTCTACATCATTTGCACTCATGGCTGTCCTTTACATTGTCGTGATGAATTGACCAATAGAAATGCTCCATAATTATTTGGAATAAAACCTCTTTAGATTAATTTACATCAGGTTTCTCCTGTAAAGCTACTGTTTTAGAGACGTTTTTCTTTGGACAGCCAAGAAAAGCAAGTTTACAATACAAATTCCTTTTTCCTATTAGCCATGACAAGAACAGCATGGTAAGCAGACACACGTTATTACTAACTCTACACTATATACTGGTTAGAATACAGTGACGGTGACCAAGTTTCCAAGATTTAAATATAGGTATGTATGGCAGTCTGTTGTCACTTCCTGAAAATAGTAATTAGCAGTTAGAAACAAATGAGAAATGAAGAAAAGCATTGCCAATTGTTTTCTTTGTGATCCATTTATTGTGTTTTATATTACATTTTACAACAAGGGTGAGGAAAGGAAAGGGGTAGTGGAAGGCAGGACGGTGACATACATTTTTAGGAATGCACACAAATCAAAAATAAAACAAAGACAATACAAACTAGACAACTTTTCCATTTCCAATCATTTTCACAGAAATACGTTTAGCATTTATTTTCTTTTTCCATTTGATGGAAAACGCTCAAAGAGAGAAAAGCATTTGACCACTAAAGGTGCAATGGTGAGCTGCTGTATCAAACACCCACGCATTAGCTCTGAGTTTAAGACAAACAACGTCTCCTGCTTCCAGTAACTGTGAGACTCCATTTGAGGAACTCAGTCTGTCCTGGGGTTGAATAACAAGTGCTTCAACTATGTGCTGTCCATTCTTTTGTAAGACCACTGATACATCTTTTCCACCGAATCCATGAGCGGTGAATCGAAAGTAATAGACTCCTCTCACAGGTGCAGTGAAAATGCCTGTGTGGACACAGAAATATACATTATATTATACATGCATACATGCATTCATACATATGTAGATGGGTAACAAATTAAAGAAATAAACGTAACAAGTGCAGATGCTTCCAGACCATGATACAGTTAAGTAATTAATATCCCATCATGCTCTGTGGCATGTTTAAAACTGCTGAGCTCACCTCAGTTCTGATTTTGATTGGCCAAGATGACAAGAGGAAAAGATCTAAGTGACTTTGAAAGAGCGTTTATCATTGGGACATGGATGGCAGGAGCGTCACAAAGACTGCTCAACTGGCTATTGTTTTAATAAGCACTGACTTAATTGATTTGGGCCCAGTCCCATTTCACCCCTCACTCTTACCACTTAGCCCTACCCCTCTGTTTTTGTGTTCATGTCTAGGTGTAGGGTGTCCCGATTCTTGTTGAGATACAGGGGAGAAGTGTTTAATGTCGTTTCCAAATTTCCCATTCCATCTTAAATGGTGCAGCAGTTACATTCTGGTGCCTTAGGCATCAGAACTGCTGCTCCATTTAAGGTGGAACAGGAAAATTCACACAAGAAGCTGGTAAATATCTGACTTCAGCTTTATATAACTGAAGAATTAGGAGTGGGCGATAATAAATAATTGCCCCCCTCTTTGAAGGCATATGATCCCTAAATGTAACTAAAGCCCAGCAGTGAGGAGCTGAACTTTACCCTCCTCTGCTGTCACTGCAGACTGGCAGGGTCGCCTACAGAGCAGCGCTAGTAGCTGTTAATGAAGTAATGCTCTCCCATTTCAGGGGGAAGATTTTAACCAGCTCAACCAGTTTCAGTCTCCATTTCCCAAACGCTTTAGCCGAGCGCGCTAACGTTACTCCTCCTAATAAACAGACACACCTTCAGCTCCGTCTCCTCATTATTCACCACCATCACTGTAATATTTCATCATCAACATTAACACACGAAGGTGATCAGAGGGGCAGTGGAGATCGAGTCTGCAGTGTCTGAGATCTTTAAAACGCAGAGTTAGAAAAGAAAATCATCTCACAGTGAAAGCAGCGTTTTACAGTAGAAATAAATGGAGCTCATTATGCTGGTAGTGAACTATGCTGCTGACACAGCTGCCTAAAAACCATAGAAACGGACCTTAAACAGAAGTGAGGACCCTGTTGGGGTTCATCCTAAAGTTAGGACAGGATTTAGGAGGTTTAGTCAGTTAGGATGTTTGTGTGATGCTGTTTTCTTATCTGGAGTTCATGATGAGATTATGAAGTTAGGAACTGTTATTCTGTAATAGCTACTGTCCAAAAATTCATCCCATACTGAAGTCATCATGATGACTAAACAGAAAAGATTTCAGATTTCAAAAGTTTCTGGTTGTCAGGAATTGGAGCCATTCTGATGGCACTGTGTAATGAAAAGTAATGATAATAACCACCCAGATAAATGGCTATACATATACTTTTCTTAGACTGCCTATAGAAGACTTTTGCGCAGTGCTGAATAAATGTATAACTTCATGTTTAAACATATCCATTTGTTTGGTATGGTTGGAGGCCCTAAACATTTCAGTGCTTTCTCTGCTTTAACACACCATTTTAAACTCACTAATGGGCTGTGAATGAGCTGATTAGTTGGATCAGGTGTGTTGACACCAAGAAAAACACTGAAAAATGCAGGACCAGAGTTGGTGTGTATGATTAGCCCACCTGTAGCTGGGTTATAAGCATTGCCGATGTTGGTGAAGACGTGTTTGTAGACCAGAGGAAATTCAGTATTGTATGGTCCAGTATGACCAGCTTCACCTCTTGAAAGTGACGCTGAAAAAGCCACTTTTCTTTCTTGGATGAACAGAAGATTATATATCATTATATATTGTAGGTTAAATCAAGTCAGAATTCACATAATTATCAGACACTGTATTAAAACATGAACTCGTTAACCTCCACAGACCTTTCATCAGGTCCATCTTTCCCTTCCTTACCTCTACAACTGCATAAAATATTAATATTTTAGCAGTTACTGAATAATAAGCTCTAATGGTTATAACTGAATAATGAGCCAAGAAATTAATGGTTAGTACTTTAAACATAAACATATACATATATTCACAATTTTCTCAGATGCTCTTTGGAAAAGCAGAATTTATTACCTTGAATCTCCTTGTTCAGACTTTGCACTTGGCTGTTGAATGAGGTTTCCAAGTCTTTCAGTAACAGAAGTATACAGTATGTCTGTTAGTCGTTAATGTATCAAGTTAATGCACATTTGTTTTCATAAAACTTCATTCCAAATCTTGCTATGTAAATGAAAAAACACATTGATGGACATGACTGGCATAATGTTGATCTTTTTTAGTTAGAGAATTACCTACTGTTTACAAACCTGTTTCCAAAACACTTGGGATGCTGTGCAAAAATGTAAATAAAAACAGAATGCAATGATGTGTAAATCATTTAAACCTTATATTTAATTAAAAATAGTAAAAAGACAACATATCAAATCTTTGTATGTAAGGTAGAAGGCCAAAGACCAATATTGGCTGGCCATGATTTTTGGGTCCTCTGGCAGCACTAAAAACAGACATGATTCTGTAGTGGAAATCACTGCATGGGCTCAGGATCACTTCCAAAAACCACTGTGAAAACAATTTGTCGCTGCATCCACAAATGCAGGTTAAAACTGTACCATGCAAAGATGAAACCATATATTAACCGGATCCCGAAACACCGCCGCCTTCTCTGGGCCTGAGCTCATTTAGGATGGAAAGAGTGGAAAAGTGTCCTGTTCTCTGTCAAATCAAAATTTTAAATTCTTTTTGGGAATCATGAACACTGCATCCTCTGAGATAAAGATTAACCATCTTGTTATTATTATACTAGCACATCTGTGAAAACACAATTAATGCCGAACAATATATGTTACCATCCAGACAACATCTTTTTCAGGGAAGGCCTTGTTTATTTTAGCAAGACAATGTAAAACCACATTCTGCATGTATTACAGCAGCATTGCTCCATATTAAAAGAGTCCGGGGGCTAAACTGACCTGCCTGCAGTCCAGACCTGTCACCACTGAAAACATTCGGCACATTATGAAACAAAAAATATGACATAGGAGAGCCTGAACTGTTGAGCAGCTGAAATCCTAGATCAAACAAGAATAGGAAGACATTTCACTTTCAAAACTACAGCAGTGTCTCCTCAGTTCCCAAACACTTACAGAGTGTTGTTAAAAGAAGAGGTGATGAAACACAGTGGTAAACTTGCCCCGGTCCCAACTGAAGCATGTTGCTGTGACCAAATTCAAAATGTGCATATATTTTTCAAAAAACAATCAAATTTCTCAGTTTCAACATTTGATATGTTGCCTTTGCACCTTTTTTGATTAATAATACGGTTTACATGATTTTCATTTAATTTCAGTCTGTTTTTATTTATATTCTGCACAGCTTCTCAACTTTTTTGGAAACAACTTATTTTGTCGTCATGCTTAGGCCAAGAAATGCATACCAGGCAGTTACTTCTTGAAACATGAGAGAATATTTCTCTAATCTGTTTATCAATTAATTTTAGATATTTACCGTCATTTTTCGTTTTCAGCTCCTCCAGTTCAGTCCCAAATCTCGCCTCCATGACACTCTGATTCACAGCTTGAGCTAAAGATGAACACACAAAATTAAAGGCGTGTTGAACACAATGTAAGCAGATTGTAAGCAAGGAAATATTAGAGGAACACTTTTGACAACATGCCCTATTTAACTGACGCTGCTCTGTGGGCAGAAGTGATGACACAATATTATAAAGATGCTGAGAAGTGTAGGGGACACTGTGAAAGGTAACACTTTTTGTCTCAGCCTCTTTAACTTGGTGATTGTTTGATCTACAAACTACTGATTTATATCATATTAGCTAGTATTTTCAATTTCCATTAATATAAGTGCTGTAGTCCAGATGTGAAACTTAACTTTCTTAATATCTTAATTTGAAAATCAAATTTTATTACATGAACACCACTATTTCACACAAAGTCACTGGACTTCTACTTTCACCTCAGGAGAGTGGTGGGTGACATCACCCCATTGCTTATTTCTGATTGGTGAAACTGGTGTGTTATAACCATCCCCTTCACTGTACATTGAATGTAGAGTTAGATTATTGTTGTTTATTGAATAATTATGATTAAAACCTCAAAAAAACATTCAAGTGCAAAGAGGTTAACATATTTCTTTTCTCTTTGCAGTTCTCCCAGTTACTTTGTGGAAAATTGGAATTTCCTACCTTGATTCTCTTTCTTCAGTTTCTCCACTTGCTTGTCGAATGAGATTTTCAAGTCTTTCAGTTCCTCTGATTAACAAGATACACATTTGTTACAGTTTCAAGTGATTTCACACAGTTAATGCTGAGCTGTAGTGGGTTAATATTGCACTTATCTTTTCTTTATGCAAAAAGTCAGGTGCTTATGTCTTCTTTAATACATATTTCAATACGCATTTCATAGAAGAACTTTGAACTTAGACATAAGGGAACATTTCTCTAATATTTTTATAATGTAAATTGATTATAAATTTCCTCCAGTTTTGCCCCAAAGGTTGCCTCCATGGCACTCTGATTCACTGATTGAGTTAAAGATGAACACAGAGGATTAAAGTGTGTTGAACACAGAGTAAGCAATGGGGTTATAGTAATTAATTAATAATTGTTATTATTGTATTGAAGGAAGTATTAGAGCACATGTGTCAGGCTCCAGTCTTCGCAGGCCAAAACACTGCAGACTTCTGCACACTGTCTCATTAAACACACCTGATTCAGCTCATCAGCTAATTAGGCCTTGATGAACTGAATTCAGAGCGTTAGATAAGGGTAAACACTGATCTCTGCAGTACTTTGGCTCAGAATGTCCCCAGTTTGACACACCTAAATTAGAGAAACATTATTGAAAACCTTTGTAAGCATCTATAAACACATTCATTTGTTATAATGCATTCATAAGGCATTATAAACGTGGCAATAAATATATTAAAAAATGCATTACTCTTTATAGCCATGCTTATTATGCATTATGAATTGTGAACATAATACATTATAAGTACTGTTCATAACAATTTATAAGAGCTCATAAGTCGTATTTGTCCGCTCTAAGTAAAGTGAAGCGTACTGTACTAAAGCCTCCTCCAGTGTTTAAACTAGTGCTGCCATCAGTGTTTTATCCAATGTGGGAAAGGTAATGTACACCACCGTTAGCTTGGCACTAACTTAACACTTCACATCCAAAACTGACAGTATAACATGTTACACTATTTACAATGCATTATATTAACAATTCATAACGTATAATAAACATGGCTATAAAGTGTAATTCTTTTTTATAAATATTTATAACCATGTTTATAATGCCATATGAATGCATTGTAACATGTTATAAATGTGTTTATAGATGCTTACAAACGTGACATTCATAGAAAGTGTTACCATGGTTGTTTGAGCTATAACCTTCAAAACTTTATATAAGATACTATAATTGCCTGTTGTGAATAACATTAGTGTAGAAATCTACTGCTAAGTCACAAAACAAGCACATTTTTGTCAAATACAAAGTTCGGTCGTTACAGCCTGCCCCACTGTCATTGTGTCTCCTTCTCCTTCACTTGGACTCTACCATTTGGGATTGGTCTGCTTTGGCTACAACTCATGGTCATGCACACCTGCAGCTATAACCTATAATTATGATTAAAACCCCCCCAAAAAAAGCATTGAAGTGCAAGGAGGTCAACGTATTCCTTTTCTCTTAGTAGTTTGCTTTGGAATTTCCTACCTTGATTCTCCTTCTTCAGTTTCTCCACTTGTTTGTTTAATGAGATTTTCAAGTCTTTTAGTTCCTCTGAGTAGCAATGTGTTCATGTGTTACAGTCAGTAATGTCTCAAGTGAATTCACACAGTTAATGTTGAGCTGTAGTGGGTTAATATTGCACTATTTTTTGTTTAAGTCAAAAAGTCAAATGCTTATGTCTACTTTAATAAACATTTCGGTAACACTTTACTGTAGGGTGCTGTTCATAAGGCTCATGACACCTACATTGTCATGACAACTGACATAACCCTACATAACTGTTTCTAAATGCTTATTACAACAGGCATCATCTGTCAAAAAGGCTACTTTAGCAGACGTTGATCAAAATTGGCCAACTTATCCTTTATAGCAAATGACACATGTTGGAATAAGCATTAATAAACAGTTATGTGGGGTTATGTCAGTTATTATGACAAATTTATGTAGGTGTCATGGCCTTATGAACAGTACCCTATAGTAAAGTGTTACTAATATTTCGATAAGAATTTCATAGAAGTTTAAACTTTAGAGGAATGTTTTTTAAATGTAAATTGATTATAAATTTAATGTGCAGTTCTTGCAGTTCAGCCCCAAATATTGTCTCTGATTCACCACTTGAGCTAAAGATGAACACAGTGTGAGCAAAGAGATCATTATTATTTCAGTCTGATCTCTCACATGAAAGTTTTTAATCTCTAATTAAGACAGAAACATGTTCAGTGACTCACCTTGATTTTTCTGACTCTGCTCCTCCAGACTTCTTCCTCAGTTCCTCCACTTGACTCTCACTGGCTCTCAGTCTGTTCTCCATGTTGTTCACTGCAGTCGTCGTGTGTCTCTGCTCAACTTTCAGCTCTGCCAGCATAGCGCTCATCTCTCTCAGTACAGAATGGAGGTCCGGCTGGCAGCTTTGTTGGGTGGAGGTTGTGGCTGGAGGTTCAGTTCTGGAATTCTCAGCTTGAATGTCGTTCATGATGATTAATCAGAGTAATCAGATTCACACTGACTTTAAACAAACTGCAGCTCAGAAACACCAGCAGAGAAACAGCTCTCGACCTTAAAAACGCCTCCTTTGTCTTCTTGGGATTAAGTGGTAGACTCATATATATATACAGTATACTGTACACTGGTTGGTCATTAACTGTAACTTAGTGCTGTGTAATTTGCTCCGGAACATGTGAATCAGCAATAACTGATAAGCATCTTCACTTTACAGTGACAATACCATTAACCCCAGTGTGCTTAAGTGTCAGTATTTGCGCTGGTACCAGTATGTAACATTGCAACCCAACTATAAACTACCAAAGTTTTAAAGACATCTCAGTGTCAGGAAAAACACTTTTGGCTCTCTGTCTGGGGAAGAAGCACCGTAAATAAAGTCATCAGAAAGAATGCGTGTGATGTGGCTGTTTATGAGTAGAACTGAAGTGCTGCATGAGCCAACTTTGATCACATGATAATCTGAAAGTTTCATTTCTCTCTGATAACAGAAGTGCAGTAACTTCTACAAGCTACTTTTTAACTCTTGTGTCCCTGGCTAAGGTAACACACCACAAAGTCACGTTTCACAGCTCACACATTCAATATTTTGAAGTAAGTTCACATTTCATAGCAATAAGACTTACTTAATAACTTTGAATGAAAACTGAAAGTCTGAGGAACAGATTCATAAGATTTGCAAGAGCCAATCACAATCAACATGTAAAGGAGCTCATACATATTAAACACCTAGACACAATTAACAACACAGAAATGAAGAAAAACAACATTCTCAGAAACCGAGCTATGAATTTTAAAGGAAGAAGAGCTGACAAATAAGAATACATTGTAAATTTCTCATTGGTAGGACTTTAAGCCTCTTTTCAAAACATTATAACTGCAGTAACAATTAAATGTGAATTAAAGAAAATGTACGAAATTCCAGTTACTATGGCAAATATATATTTTTGATCTCTGAAGTTCAATTTGCACACATGAATATTAAAATTACACTAGTAAATATTACAAAAAAAAGTTGGGATACTGTGCAAAATGTAGATAAAAACAAAATGCAATGGCATGCAGATCATTTAAACCTTATTTCATTGAAAATGAAAAGACAACATATCACAAATTTTATTGTTTTTTGAAAAATATTTGCCCATTTTGAATTTGATGCCAATAACATGTTCCAAAAAAGGGGGCAACAAAAGGCTGATAAAGTTGTGTAATGCTTAAAAAAAAACACCTGGTGGTTGATTGGCAACAGGTCAATAACCTGATTGGGTATAAAAAAGCAAAGTAAAGATAAGGAAGAGTTTACCACTCTGTGAAAGACTGCACGATCAAATAGTGCAACAATTCAAGAATAATGTTTCTCAACATAAAAAGCAAAGAACGTTTGCTTTTCATCATCTACGGTGCATAATAACATTAAAAGATTCAGAGAATCTGGAGAAATCTCTGTATGTAAGGGACAAGGCCAAAAACCAGTATTTGCTGGCCGTGATCTTTGGGCCCTCAGACAACACTGCATTAAAAACAGACATGATTCTGTAGTGGAAATCACTGCATGGGCTCAGAAACACTTCTGAAAAAACTGTCTGTGAAAACAGTTCATCACTGCATCCATAAATGCAAGTTAAAACTCTAAAACACAAAGAAGAAACCGAAGATAAACAGGATCCAGAAACACTGCCGCCTTCTCTGGGCCTGAGCTCATTTAAAATGGACTGAGGTGAAGTGGAAAAGTGTCCTGTGGTCCGACGAATCAACATTTGAAATTCTTTTTGGAAATCATGGACACTGCGTTCTCCGGGCTAAAGACCACTCAGCTTGTTATCAGTGCACAGTTCAAAAGCCAGTATTCATGATGGTATAGGGGGCATTAGTGCACATGGCATGGGTGACGTGCACATCTGTGAAGGCACCATTAATGCTGAACGATATGTACATGTTTTGCTGCCATCCAGACAACGCCTTGATTATTTCAGCAAGACAGTGTCAAACCACATTCTGCATGTGTTACAGCAGCATTGCTCTGTATTAAAAGAGTCCGGGTGCTAAACTGACCTGCCTGCAGTCCAGACCTGTCACCACTGAAAACATTTGCTGCATTATGAAATGAAAAATACGATAAATGAGACCCTGAACTGTTGAGAAGCTGAAATCCTATATCAAACAAGAATGGAAAACATTTCACTTTCAAAACTACAGCAGTGTCTCCTCAGTTCTCAAACAGAGTGTTGTTAAAAGAAGAGGTGATGAAATACAGTGGTAAACAGGCCCCCGTCCCAACTTTTTTGTAACATGTTGTTGGTATGAAATACAAAATTGGCATATATTAATATATTAATAATAAAATTTCTCAGTTTAAATATTTGATATGTTGTCTTTGTAGTATTTTCCTTTAAAAATATGGTTTACATGATTTGCACATCATTGCATTCTATTTTTATTTACATTCTGCACAGCGTCCCAACTTTTTTGGAAACGAGGTTGTAAAAAATTCAGTTTTTAACAGACAGTTTGCAGAAAAATCAGTTTGAACATAATTAGAATCTCAACATGTCAAATAACTCTTCACTTATTTGAATTGCAAGCTAAACAGGAAATTTCACTGAAAATGATCTCATGATATGGTGAATAAAATTGCTTGTTTTAAGAAATATTCATGAAACAAACAAACTACTCTATAAATAATAATAATAATAATAATAATAATAATAGTAAATAACAGCTATTTTCAAAATGGATATATATTTCAGAAAACATTATTTAACGTCAACATGCAGGACATCTAATTTGTATTTTCATGGGCCCCCTGGCAGCTTTCTACCTTTACTTAGTCCAAAGACCACCCACGTCTACTGTCTGTTTCCATTGACTATTTTTTGATGAACTGCTTAAACAGAAAACAGCATTTGACCACTGAAGGTGCTGTGATGAGAACTGCTGTCATACACCCATGAATTAGCTCTGAGCTTAATACAGACGACGTCTCCTACTTCCAGTAACAGTGAAGCTCCATTAGAGGAACTCACGCTGCCCTGGGGTTGATAGGCATATGTTGCAGCTATTTCATGTCCATTCTTATGTAATTCCACTGCTACAGCTCTTTCATTTGCTCCATGGATGTGGAATCTGAACTGGTAGACTCCTCTCACAGGTGCAGTGAAAATTCCTGTTAAAAATAAAGATATAAGTAAAATATACACAATATATGATTCATATAGGGAGAGTCTGTGTACTGTTATAATACACAGTTTTTGTTTAATCACCACTATACCACCTGATGTGTTGCAGTTTTTACAAAGATTTTTAAAAAAAAATGAAACATATAAAATCAACATTAATGCAAGGATGACTTTACATTAATTCAAGCACAGGCATAAAGAGTATGGAGTAAAATCTCTTTACATTAACTCACACTGAAAGTTAAGAGCATTTTTGTTTCTCTTGCAATGCTACTATTTTGGAGACACGTGTTTTCTTTTGGACAGCAACGATGTGAAATGGTGTAGAATTAAAAAAATTATATTAATTAATTATATTACTGTGTAAATAATTGTCAATGGTTGTATTGTGGCATCTGCATAGAAGAAGATGAATGAAGATGAACTAAAGACGAATGCTCTTTTATTGAACAGGCAGCAAAGGAGAATCCAGCACTATCCAAGTGTCCAGGATAGTGAGCAGTCAAGTCAAGTCAAGTCAAGTCAAATTTATTTATATAACGCTTTTTACAACAGGTGTTGTCAAAAAGCAGCTTTACAGGCTCCGGGTCCGAGCCCCCATGAGCATCGCCAATGGCGACAGTGGCAAGGAAAACTCCCTAAAAGCAAGAGGAAGAAACACTGAGAGGAACCAAGACTCAAAAGGGGAACCCATCCTCCTCTGGTCCACACCGGGTAGCAAACAGCGTTAGTATAAAATATTAGAATAAAAAAAAACGGGGAATAACAGGCGGAGCAATGGTCATTTCTAGCCATACAGGTTTCTCTTCATCATAGACACTAACATTGACACATCTACTCCAGCACAGAACAGCACAACCAACATGCAAACACATGTTAAGCCAACGACAACAACTTATCTACAACATTAAACTCTCTCCTTCTGAGAGCCGCCATGCGCCTCCAGTGCTCCCATGGCACCGCAAGCCAGTGGCAGGACTCCACAGTATTATACATATAAATATCATACATATGAAATAATACAAATAATACAGTACACAAACAGTCTACCTGTAGCTGGGTTGTAAGCATTGCCGATGTTGGTGAAGACGTGTTTGTAGACCAGAGGAAATAAAGTGCCGTAAGGTCCGGTATGACCAGTTTCACCTCCTGAGAGAGATGCTGAAAATGCCACTTTTCTCTCTTTAATAAATAGAACATTTTACACTGTTAGTCACGTAATGTCAAAACACATTATTACTGACAGTAACAAAAGACTTTCCTGAGCACACCAACAAAATATGTTTATTACAGTAACTATTAGGGATGTTCCGAATTTGCAGACATTAGCATTTCGTCTGAAAATGGTCAAAAGAGGCTCTTAATGTTTTAGGCCGAAAGCAAAAAAATGCAGTGAATTTTGGCCCAAAAAATGTAAGATTAAATAGATCTACAGTGAAGTGTGAGAAATAATTTGAATGATAATGAAAATGTTGGGTTTTTTCCTTCGCTCTCCTGCGCTGGTTACCACAGGCGCGTTCAAACAGTTTGAGAAGCAGCAGATCAACAGTGAAGTGAAGCCGTGTAGAGCTATTTCACAGTTTCTATGATGTACATTGGAAAGGTAATTTGTTATCTGTTAGCCCTGAGTTTCATGGGAGGGGAGGGTTTCTTCTCCACTCTAGATCTGATACCACATAAAGAACACTTCATTTTGCTCCATACACAGAACACAACAAAACAGCCAAAGCAGAAAAGAAAGCTGATACAACAGTTTTGGCTCAGCTGTGCTGTTATTTGTGACATCATGGTTTTGGGTTAGGTAAGAGCAGTGGTGGACGAAATACACAAACCATGTACTTGAGTTAAAGTAGAGATACTCAAAGTAAAATATTACTCCAGTAAAAGTAGAAGTTCCTCCCTTTAGACCTCCACTTGAGTAAAAGTACAACAGTATTAGCCTTCAAATGTACTTAAGTATCGAAAGTAAAAGTACTAAAAGATTAATTATGGCTCTGATGTCCTATTATCATTTTTATAACAAGACTCTGCTTCATTAACTCAGTTTAGGTGAAAATACTCCAGTGTCTCTCTTGGTAAACCAGTCTTTTAATAGAGTCATTAATTAGTGACGCTGATGTCTATTAAAATTATCATCAGCACAAAACACTGAAGGCAAACAGTTTCCATCAGGTAGAACTGAGTGGCTCTGAAATGACTATTTACAAACAAGCAAAGTTTCAGTTTAAGATTTATTTGCAGCTTAGTTACAAGTTTAAGTTTAATAAAACTTTAAACTCAGATTCACAAATGAGTTTCCTTTACTAAACTGCATCTGTAGGTCTCTGTTCATAAACATAAACTAGCCATAAACTAGTAATTTACTATAAAATGAAATCGTGTTTGTATGAATTCAGAAAAAAGACACGTCAGTCACAACTGCATATGAGTACATATTTCTATATTGTGGTCTATTTACACAAAGTTAGGTTAGTTCATCATTTATGTTGAATAGACTCTCCCAAAATTCACGCTGCTGCGCTGATGTTGAACCGTGTGCTGCACTGGGTCGGTATGACCAACAGGTCAAAACAAGCTCAAAACAAAGTGTGCGCTGTGTCCTGATTGGTGTTTTTGCTCCGCACTTCTTTTGTTTTGACATGTTACGTTTTTATACACACATAAACCAAAAGGAACGACAGATTTCGCAAAATGTAGTGGAGTAAAAGTAAAAAAGTCGCCCAAAATGGAAATACTTCAGTAAAGTACAGATACATGAAAAACCTACTGAAGTAAAGAAATGAATTACATTTACTTAGTTACTGTCCACCACTGGGTAAGAGTAAGGGAAGTAAACTGTGCTTTATTTTCTTTGTTGTGGTTTATACTTAGGGAAGTTAGTGTGGAGTTAGTATTGGGTTTTATCTATTGGTTTGGCTTATGCTTACACCTGGGCAGATGGCATATTTTCTGTGGATTGTTATCAGGTGGCATCTGTTATATTCTAATATTGCTCTAAATATATGTAATTAGCTTGAACAGAATCCATTGCGTGATGTACATCTCCTCTCTCACCCTGTGCTCACCATATTCTAGATCAACACATAACAGTAAGTTTTTTCCAGCTGTTACTGTCATTCTTTTCTATGCCTATACATCTATCTTTTATCCATCTGTAGTTCTTGACTACACATTTGACTTTTAAATCTGTTGTGTATGTTATGACTTTAGAGATCAATGTTTAATTAGCCATTATAGTTGTACCTGTTGTCTTGCTCATTCTGTCCTAGAAGCACAACAAGTTAATAATTTTTATAAGAGAAAAATTTTGAATTAGTATGTAAATCACAATAAAGCAGGATAACAAAATATATGCTGATGTTAGCTGGCTAGGCAAGTTAGTGAGTTACAGAAACTTTAGCTTCAGGAAACCTGAACGTTGAACAGGATCTCATTTTAATCCATCTTCTGTTGCATTGTCCACTGATCCAGCAAAGTCAATCATTCAGCATAATGTGGTTTAAGATTTTATGCAATGCTTTATCTGCATTTTAATACAAAGTTGAGATGCAAATGTTGCGAGTGAGTTTCAAGTGAATTGCAGGAGGCTTTATGTTACGCAACTCAAGTGCAACTTAGTTTCATGTAAGTTTCAAGGAATGAAAGTTGCATGGAAGTTTCACAGTGTAAAGTCAACCTAACACTCCCTTTTGTATTCTATTGTTTAATCAACACACTGATGTAGCACCAGTATATGATCTAAAGATGTCCCTCATGTTGCACATCATACAGTGGCCAATTCCTACCATGTGTAGATGTACTAACATGCTCTTGAAATTAGTTTCCGGCATGAGAGGTTTGGTACGAGACAATGAGATCTGACCACAGTGTGGGAGTCTGATGGCCAGTGTTGGAGACTTACAGGCAGGTATTCACTCAGACTCATTACATTCAGTCAGTACTTTCCTCAAATTCTAAATTCTCATTTTATTTCAGAATTTTCTTAACTGTACTACAAAAAAAAAAAAAATTTATTACCTTGATTCTCCTGTTTCAGGCTCTCCACTTGGTTCTCTGTGACCTTGAATGAGGTTTTCAAGTCTTTCAGTTCCTCTGAGTAACAATGCATACAGTAGATCTGTTACAGTCATTCATATTTCAAGTGAAAGCACATTTATTTTCATAAAACTGCATTCCAATCCCACAATTCATGAAGAACGGGTAATGCTGAGAACCATTTTTGTGTGATGAGTGATGAACTTGTTAGGATTTTTCTTCATGCAAAAACCTGAATGTGTATGTCTACTTTAACAGATTCCACACTTGGAAATTCATAGAACACAGTTAAAACAGGACATTTGAGAAAGTTCCTCTATTTCACTTAAAAAATAGATTATAAATAATTACCATCACTTTTTCTTTTCAGCTCCTCCAGTTCAGTCCCAAATCTCGCCTCCATGGCGCTCTGATTCACTGTTTGAGCTTCAAATAAAAGTATGGAATAAAATATATTGAACACAACATGCGCAAAAGCATCATTGTTATTTCAAACCAGTTTCTCAGATTATAGGGGAGACCAGGGTGTGTTGTCACATGGACTCAACTGAAAGTTGGAAGACTTTGTGTGACCTGTTTATGTAACAACAACAATGAAAAATTAGGTGAGACAGTGTAACTTATTCATCAAAGTTGTGGAACAAAGAGCCTCGATTTGTTTATTTTATGGGCGGAGTCAGTAGTATTAAAGCAAAGCACAGTGGAATATGTTATTAACTGGAACATGGACTAGTTGCAGCCTTAGTCTATACCAATGTGTAAATAAGTACATCCACTTTTGGATTGCCATGTGCAGAAATGATTAGTATTCTTGTTATTTTCTTTTTTATTTATATTACTGTTAAGTTTCTTTAAGGTTGTTTAACTATTATGGTAAAATGTATGTGCACTTCTACCAGATGGGAGTTGATTGTACAGATACAACAAAGATGGAGTGACTGAATAACAAAAC